TTTTTTTTTCAATATTTCGAAAGTAATGTAATGTTTGCTTATGAGGTTGGTGACACATTTTTCGTTTACCTTTTTACTTCAAATGTTGTTTGAAGTAAAAAGATGTTTGGGGGGGGGTTCCTAGTTGACTTACGCGACTTTCTGCTTGCGTGCAGTGTCTGGGTCTGAAGCGGTGTACTGGACCACAACTTCATCCACAGCAAGGTCCTCTGGTTTTACCACAAGCTTCTCCTTTGGATCAAAGACTGGAGCTTCATTCACATCCTTTACATCCACCACCACTGTGGCAGTAGAAGTGACCACAGAAACACCAGGAGCAAAGGGAATCTCATTCTCCACTGAAACCAACAGAGTGTGCTTGCTGGCCGTCTCAAAGTCCAGCTCCTGGTCGGAAGGAAGGGAGAAAAAAACACATCATAAGGGTGTTGGCACAGATTTTTATTAAGTCCCAACAAATCACAGAAAATGTTTCCATCAACTAATCACTGATGATAATTATCTTCCAATATTATGAATGAATTCCTGATTTTCTTCCTACCTTTGCAGTAGAAAGGATTCCTTCTTGTTTGTTAGTTCTTGTTTTTACTGTGAAAAGTCCATCAGGATCACCACTGATGATCTTGAAGATGGCGTTCCAGGCTGGAGTTTGTGGTTTATCTTCGTCTGTTACTATCATCTTTACCACCTCAACATCCTTTTTGTTTTCATCAACTGTCGCACTATACTGTGAGAAAATTAAGGATGGGTCAGAAATCATGGGAGTCAAAACAGATCTTGGTGTTTTGCTCTGTTCTGTTTTTGCTGTGATGGGTCATTGGAGTCTGATTATAATAATGGATTTATATAGCGCTTTTCAAGGCACTCAAAGCGCTTTACAATTCCGTTATTAATTCACTCTCACATTCACACACTGGTGGAAGCAAGCTACAGTTGCAGCCACAGCTGCCCTGGGGCAGACTGACAGAAGCGAGGCTGCCATATCGCGCCATTGGCCCATCTGGCCAACACCAGCAGGGTAAAGTGTCTTGCCCACGGACACAACGACCAGGACAGAGAGCCCGGGGATTGAACCGGCGACCTTCCGGTTACAGATGCGCTTCCCAACCTCCAGCGCAACGGTCGCCTAACTGCCAAACAACTTAAATTGTACATCAATAATTCATGTTCAATTCCTTCTAATCTTATTGCAGACATATACTTCTTGCAAGAAACTGACTTGCACACTATGAAATCTGAAATCTTAAAGTACAAAGTTGGACAAGATATAATATCAAACATATAATAGTAAACAGCAAGGAAGTGAAAAAACATTAATTTGTAATACATCTCTCAGTGATCCAATAACATTATCAGTTTATCCCTAAGTAATAAAATATTCATGCTAGTCAACATTTGTGGCCCCAGCAATGACAATCCATCTTTCTTCCACAACCTCTTTTCATTATTAACCAAATCAACAAACATAATTATCAACTAAAACTTCAGCACAGTCATCCAACTCACCCACCTGGCCCAAAAATGTGAATTTTTAATATTTAAATACCAACTTGTTTAATTCAGCTCCAGCAACTGAATATAGACCTTCTAATTACAAAAATAAATGGGTAAATACCTGTCAAATGGATTACAACACAAAAAGGAAAGTAGCCAGCAATAGTCTTCTGACCAAAGCTCAACACAACAAATCACAATCTAAAGACAAAGCAAACATGTTAGATGAACCCATTAACTTCATAAAGCACTCAGCAAAATATCAAAAAACTAATTACTTAAGAGTGATGACAAATTCTTCTTGTTAACAAGACTGATGTGTTTACTTTAAGAGTAACACAAGTTTTTAGCAATTTCTGGGCTCAGTTTGCTTCGTCTTTTGTCAGCCTTGATCACAGCTCTCAAACTTGGGATGTGGTTGGTTGACTTTTAGACTTTCTGGAATGTCATGTCATCAGGTTTATTCTAAACATTGTCAAGCAAAGCTAGAAGCTTGCATAGTACTAGATGCAGCATTTAATTTATTTTAAATAAAATAAAGATTTCTGTTGAAATTATTAAAAAAAAAGAGAATAGCTTAGAGCTGAAAAATCTTGCTTGTTTTATTTTTCTGCTAGAAAGCAGTGGCTATTTTTGACAGATTTTAATGAATTCACAGCACAGTCTTCTCTTTCTCTCTTCTGATATGATTGTCCATAATTTCAAAGTTGTTCTTTGGACATTGGCTGCTTTAATGCTTCAATGCCTTTGCATGAAGGGGAATATTTTTTCAAACTGTGTTCTAACTTTGCAATCATTCAAATGATAATGTATTAGACCAGGGTTAACTGGTGGATGTGTGGGTGTGAAACTCATATCAGCTGTCTGGATTAAGTTTTGTGGGGACTTGGCTGATGTCTTAAAATGTGCAAGTGGGGCACTCACAAAAACAGGACACTAGAAGACAACCAGTAAAATGACGTCTCAAAAACTATGTGAATTACATAAATATTTGCTACTTGATTTTCAGGTTTTTTTTAATCAGAGTTTTTTATGGAATGATGATTTTATGGAATGATTCAGCCACTAATTACATTCACAGTAGTCACTCAGTGTGTCTTTAGGGATTCGCTAGCTTAGCTTAGCTCATAGCCAACCCACTAGCAGCATGGCCTTTTTACCTGTCCCTCGTGCACTTCCCTGCTCAGATGTTTAGTTATTCCTCGGCCTGCTATAGTAATAACAACACTCGTAATAGGCTGTAAAAGGCTTCTACTTGTGCAGACTCCTGCTCGCACTGGAGTGGTTCACATCAATGTAAAGCGGCAGGAATGACAATCAGCATCTCCAAGTCTGAGACCATGGTCCTCAGCCGGAAAAGAATGGAGTGCCCACTTTGTGTCAGGGACAAGTTACTGTCCCAAGTGGAAGAGTTTAAGTTTTAATTTAAATTCTTGTTCACAAGTAAGAGGAGCAGGAGATCAACAAAGATTGGTGCTGCGTCTGCAGTGACACTGTACCAGTCCATTGTGAGGAAAAGAGAGCTGAGTATAAAAGCAAAGCTCTCGATTTAATGGTCAATCTACATCCACACCCTCACCTATGGTCATGAGCTTTGGGTAGGCCCGAAAGAAGGAAATCACGGAAATGATCTTTCTCCGAAGGATGGCTCGACTCTGCCTCTTAGATATAGGGTGAGGAGTTCAGCCGTCTGGAACGGGATCAGAGTAGAGCCGCTACTGCCCCACATCGAAAGGAGTCAGTTGAGTCAGTTCAGGCATCTGACAATGATGGTTCCTAGGTGCCTCCTGGATGAGGCGTCCCAAGCATGTTGCAGTGCAGACCCATTACACGCTGGAGAAATTATATCTCTCAGCTGGTCTGGGAATGCCTTGGTGTTACCCCGGATAAGCTGGAGGAGGTGGTCGGAAAGAGGGTGGTCAGGACTTTTCTTCTTAGGCTGCTGCCCCCCCAACCCGGCCTTGGAAAAGTGGAGATGGATGTTCTGGGACATATGAAGCTAGAAACACCAGCAATCATAGTCAAGTGCCTTCCAGGGACTAGAAGAGGCGACACTGAGGGAAATTTAAAACTGCTGGCTAAGGGTAAATGTAAATTCTGTAAAATTATAATTCACATTGACAGAATGTGGATGAAGTCGTGGTAAAAAAAAAAAAAAATCAGGTAATTCATCAGGTCCCAACCAGCCCAAATATCAAAGGGAAATTAAAATGCATGCCGTGGAAGAGTTCGGGTCTTAGGAGGTTAAAGAAAATAAGAACAATCCTAGGTTTCTCTTCAGCACTGCAGCCAGATTCACATGTACATGTCAAATGTCAGAGCTTTGTTAAGCCAACCATTCTGTTGATGTTATATAATAATGACATAATGAATTTCTTCACAAATAAAATTTTAGCCATTAAAGAAAAAAATACTCCAACAAATCACAAACATAAAATTATGTGCAGCTACTTTTAATACCACTGATATTTATTTAGACAATTTTTTCCAAGAGATCTTTCTGAGTTAACTTTGGTAATTACTTCTACTAAAGGATGAACATTTCTTTCAGACCCAATTCCTACAAGACTGCTCAAGTCCTACCATTAATTAATACTAAAATCTTAAATATGATCAACCTATCACTAATAACCAGCTATTCATACCAGACCAAAAGTCTTTTTCCCTGGCCTCTCCAAACTTCTCCCACATCCGAGTTTTTGCTTCAGCCACTGCCCGAGCCGTATTCCGCTTGGCCTGTTGATACCTATCAGCTGCCTCCGGAGTCCCACAGGCTAACCAAGGCCAATAGGACTCCTTCTTTAGCTTGGTGCCTCCCTTCACCTCTGGTGTCCACCATTTGGTTCAGGGGTTACCATCTCAACAGACACCAACAACCTTGTGGTTTGCAGCTCAGTGTAGCAGCTTCGGCAATGGAGGTGCTGAACATGGTCCATTCGGACTCAGTGTCTGAATGGACAAGCTCTCTAAAAGATAAAGAGAGAGCTTAGCGTAAAAGCGAAGCTCTCAATTTACCGGTCGACCTGCATCCCTACCCTGAACTATGGTCACAAGCTGTGGGTAGTGACCGAAAGAATGAGATTGCAGATACAAGGGGTGGAAATTAGCTTCCTCTGAGGGTGGCTGGAATCTCCCTTAGAGATAGGGGGAGAAGTTCAGTCATCCGGGAGGGTCTCAGAGTAGAGCCGCTGCTCCTCCACATCGAAAGAAGCCAGATGAGGTGGTTCGTGCATCTGACAGGGATGCCTCCTGGGTGAGGTGTTCCGGGCGTGTCCTACTCGGAGGAGGGACAGGACACGCTTGAGAGATTATACCTCTCAACTGGTCTGGGAACGCCTTGGTGTTCCCTCGACAAGCTGGAGGAGGTGGCTGGGGAGAGGGAGGTCTGGGCTTCTCTGCTTAGGCTGCGTCCCCCGCAACCCGGCCTCGGCTAAGCAGAAGATGATGGATGGATGGATGAATGGACAACAGACTTTCAAGCTGGCTCTAGTTAAACCATTGCTTAAAAGATGGCCATGACCGACCACGTGCTTAGAGAATAACTCAAGCAGCAGAAACCCAAGAAAGAGGAGCAAGAGTAGGAACCATTATGGAAGGACATTATGGAAGGACATTATGGAAGGAAGGTTACAATTGTTTCAAAGAAAGTAATAACCAATGCACTCAACTGCCATGGTCTGTATGCCCACTCACCATGCCATCTACCTAGATGATGAAGATGAGGCAAGGATGGTCGCTTCAGTAAGACAATGATCCCAAACACAAAGCCAAGGAAAGACTCAGTTGGTAACAGAGAAAGATAATAAGCCTGCTAAAATGGCCCAGCCCTGAGACCTAATTCCACCTGAGCTTTGGCTCTTTCTATACATTTTCAGAATTCATAGAAGTGCCCCACAGAAGCTTCAGGATTTGAAAACTGCTTGTGTGCATGCATGCGACTAGTTTCTCCATAAAGGAGGCATCTTGAATCCAAAATACTTTTGGATGGAGTATTAAATATCAGTAAGCATGTTCAATACTTTTTCCTTGTGTCATTTTTTATTTCACATGCGTCACTGCACATGCTGTGGACTTATTTTGTTAAATGGTGTGCATTAGCCAACATTAGTAAGGCAGTTAGATACAGACTGAATGTGTTCTGCTTTAACAGAGTGAAAAAGCAGCAGTTAAACAGGAAGTTTGCAGTTACCAGTACTTTGTACTTACAGATTTCTGAGTGAAGACTGGAGTGTTGTCATTGCTGTCTGTCACCGTGAGGATGACTTTTGTTTGTCCGGATAACCCTTCTCCCGCCAGATCTGCTGCTTGTACTGTCAGAGTGTACTGTGGATATTTCTGTTAAGAGACGGGGACTGTTAAGGTAGATCAGCTCATCAACAGGAAGGAACACTGACATCAGTTTACAGACCTCTGTAACACACAGCTTTCAAACTGACTAAAACCCTTCACCTATGAAGGCCCGGCATTCTGCTGAAAAGTTGAAGATAAACTCATAGAATATTTTGCTTATGACAAATACATGCAAGCCTGATGCCATTATCTGATATTAGCCTTGGTCAAACTTTTTAAATATAGTGTATTATTGACCAAGCAGTGGTGAAACTGTGACAAGCATGACACAAACTAGAAATGGAGACCATTAGACTCTAAAGTAAAAGTTAAGCTTCAAGAACAGTGTTTGTTTTCAGCAGTAAATTCAGGTTTTACTTCAAAGGTAAATATTATCATTATCCAAGAAATCACCAGCAGTGTTTTTGGTGCAGTGCCCTCTTTGTGATTGATTTCTAGCAGTGATAGGCAGACTACTGATCCTGATTCATAAAAATGCTTTTTTCAGCACTTAGGCGTAAAAGGACACTTGTATGTTAAATGTGGTTTAACAAATCTCACCTCTCTGTCTAGTCCTTTACCAGTGACTCTGATGCTTCCAGTAACTGGGTTGATTTCAAACATGTTGCCAGTGGGCAGTGGTGGGTCCTGGTTCATAATACGATAGCGGAGATCTGAGTTGTCACTATTTGGCTCATCGTCATCTTTGGCCTCAACCCTAACCACCTCAGTCCCTGGAGTGGAGGAATTCAGAAAAAGGAAATCAAGAGCAGAAGTTTTAGAAGGTCTTCACATTGCTTCATTTAAGAATTTATTAAATCAAAATAGAGTTAGCGTAAAAAGTCTAATTTCATTCCAACCCAAATTGTAATTTTCTGAAGGTTCTGAAGGTTTCTGAATATCTTAAAATTCATTGCATTTAAACCTCTTCACTACATTGATTTCTATTGTTGAGAATTGTAGATAGTAGCAAAAATAAAGAAAACTGCAAATAAGTGCCAACAAGAAAACAAAATAATGTCAAAAATATGTTTAAACATACCAATGGCCGTGGCCTCAGCAACATTTGCTTTGTAGTCTGTCGTAAAATAAGGTTTGTTGTCGTTCTGGTCAATCACACGTACTATAATCTCCATGGGAGCCTCAGCTTTTCCTGCTCCATCAGCCACAGCATGTGCTTCAAACTACACAGGCAAAAGATTTCAACATGTTTGATTCAGAAAGTTTCAGATTCACCTTTAAATTAATTCATTTATCTCTACACCTTTAATCTACACACAATACAAACAAAGCAAAGATTTTAGTGTCTTGATGTGACTTTTGTTGTGATTCGGTGCTATATAAATAAAACTGAAATGAATTCCTGTAAAATTTTAGATATAAGAGTGAAAAGACTTATAAATGATCAAGTGACCAGTCAATATGTTATTGTTACTTGATTGCTTTGTTTCTGTCTCTCAAAAGGATGATTGTACATTTGTTTTTGAAACAACCAAAGAGATCTGCAATTTTCTGCTGAAAATGTTTGACATAACTAGTAATATGTAAAGAGTCTCAATACATCTATAAAACGAATATTTCAGAACGATACCTGTCATCACTTCAAGTCAAGTCAAGTCAAGTCATCTTTATTTATATAGCACATTTAAAAGACATCAAGTGTCGGCCAAAGTGCTGAACAGAGGGATAATATAATAAAAGAATTAAAATAGAAAGAAAACATTTTTTTTTAGCTACGCACGAAAAACACACACACGGAGAGCAGCGGCAGAAAGACACGCCAGCGTACGCTCACCCGGAAACATCCAGCTGTGATAGTATGGTATTTTATTTATATAGTGTCAAATCACAGCAGCAGTTTCCCCTAGATGCTTTAAATTTATATATAAAACCCAAAACCCAAAAAATCAGATGACCTCCTATGAGCAAGAGCTTTGGCAACAGTGGGAAAACTCCCTTTTAACAGGAAGAAACCTCCCGCAGAACCAGGGTCAGGGAGGGGCGGGGCCATCTGCTGCTAATGGTTGGGGTGAAGGAAGGGAGACAAAACAAAAGACACACTGACATGAAAGCTAGAGATTAATAATAACTAATAATTGAATGCAGAGCAGTGTATAAACACAGTGAGTGAAAAAAGTTCTCAGTCTAATCTTAA